ATCAAAGCAACTGCAAGCTATTGTTGCAGGACTAGTATAGACAGGGCTTAGGCACTTTTACCACTGTATCATGTAAACGTGCTCTACCTGACCCATGCCGATACCTGTAGCTTAGCACTAGTGTAGCTGCATCACTGCTGACTATCACTGTAATACAGGTTCTAATTTTTTTTAATGTATGCTCTCTAGAGGTGTCCTTGAATCCAAGAGGTGGCACACTACTTATTCTGAAGCAGACAATGGCAGTCAGCAAGGGGAAGAGACAGAAAGAGAAAAAGCAGCTCAGAATGATAAGGCAAGTTAAAACCTAAATATCCCTCCTAGTGTGCCTGAAAAAGGGAGGGAGGATCTGAAAAGAGGAAGGAGCCCTGGTTCTCAACTGGAAGCCCAAAAATTTAAAACAGCACTTACAATTACCCAATTGTCTGTTTCTGCATAGAGAACTAACAGTAAAGTTTTGCTACACATAAAGCCACACCCCAGGAGAAGCACTACACTCTGTATTACTGCTACTAGTTTATAAACACCCATCTTTTAACCAGTTTTTGGAATGAGGTTAACTTTATTCTCCAATTAATGAACTACAAAAAAGTAAGTCTGGCTGTTGCGTCCCTTCCCCCAAGCCTATTTTAGAAAATGTAGTGCTTTTAACTAAATTACAGCCGACCCACCAACAGATTCATATTTTCCTTACTTTACATCAGTTGTCACTCACTCAAGCATACACACTGAGAAGAATTTCCAAAAAATAGCAAAACCAGCTCTGTGATATATTCTGAAACCTCAACTGACAGCTAAAAATAAAAGCCTGGATTTTCCATGGAGTCTAAGAGTTAGATGCCCAACTCCCATTGAATTTTAATGGGATTAGGCACCTAATTCCTTTAAACTTCTTGGAAAATCCCAGCAAAATATCATGTTAACATGATATTCCAGCCTAAAAGCAAGCATTGGCTCAAAGCCATTTTTATTTTCATTCTTAAAGGCAGCCTGCAAAGAAAGTAAGTGTGTTTGTGCCCTTTCTTCTCCTTTTTTGGTGTATAAAGAGGACATGAAAACTCCTTTGTTTTTGAGAAGAGACATTTTTCACATTAAGTTTTGTCTCCCTTGTTTTCTAGAGACTCCCTGGAAAACTACAGGATTGAAGTGGCAGCTCCCTCAGCCCTTGGTTGCAAGCTTTCCTCCCCACTGTCTTCCAGGCAATGGAGTTAAATGAGTGTTATCAACACCACCACCAATCTGAGGAAAAATCTCTTCCCCTTAACATCTCTTTTGATTTTAGAATTCCACAGTCTACTAAGAAATCCTCAATATGCCCTATCATTTCTAATGAAAAAATAAGAGAAAATAACTTTTCCCATGGGAGAGAAACAAGGTAGGAATCTCCTTAATTCATAAAAAGGGTGCAATGAATATTTTCTTCTCTTTGCCAATCACCTTTAAATTAAGATTTCATGGATGTCCCTGATAGATCACATGGTTTCAACCCGTCAGCAAAAGGCAACTGGTCCATTTCCAATTCCAGCAGCTATAATGAAACTTGCTGTACACATTTACCTTCCTGTGAAAAGTAATTCTCTGAGAAGGTATAAGGCTCTTCCATTATATTCCAACCAATCAAATCTAAATCTCTAAAAAGGTATTAAACCCAGGATCCTGTCCAGAAAGACCACTAAGAGAGAATTTTAACTATGTTACTAGTTTTTTTAATCATTCATTGATTAAAATAAATGAGTACAAAAGGTTAGTTTTAGTGCTGGATGTTTTAGAAAAACAGGTCCTAACATGCACCTTATTAATATCAATACTGAAATGATGGGTTTTGGTCTCAAAAAGACCAAAGAGCATTAAATAACATGCAATTCTTTATGAAGTGCTTATTCACATAGATGCCAGTATAATCTGAAAATATATTTTTTATTGATCCTTAAAAAGTATTTCTTCAGTTCTTGATAGAACCACAAAGCAGCAAAAGTCGAGGTGGCCAAACTTCCTGACCCTCTGAGCTGCATACGATAATCTTCAGAAGTTCAAGAGCCTGGCATGCCTGCTGGGGCTTCTGTCCTGCGCGGAGGGAGGTCTCAGGGTTTCAGCCCCATGGGAGGCGCCTGCTGGGGCTTCAGGCTTCAGCCCCACTCCTGCTGAAGCCCCGAGCCCAGTCAGATGCATCCTGAGCCCCAGCAGGCTTGTCCAACATGCCGCAGGGCAGAAGCCCTTAGCTTCACCCCCCCGTCCCCAGTCTGGTAGACAGGGAATGGAGGGGAGGGGGATGTGTGGGGCTCCACAAGCTGCACTTTAACTGTAAAAGAGCCACATGTGGCTCGGGAGCTGCAGTTTGGCCAAACCTGAGCAAAGACATCATTACACCTTAGACTCAAGCTAACACTTCTTAGACACCTACAATTTGGCTCATCTTCAGAGGAACTATCAGAACTTGTTTCACAGTATCTACAATTTTGAAATGCTGGCAGGGCATAATCAAATACCAACAATAAATATTAATATCTTCTCCAGAGCCCAGCAAAAAGTCTAGGCACAGTTAGGGTCAGAAAAGCAATAACTTCTAATTCAGTAGAGATTTGTGCTGTATCACAGTAAGTCAGTCAGTCTTCCCTATTTTATACACCTGTTATCACTGCAAAGCAAATACTGGTGGGAGAGTAAGCTGGATTTAGTTCATGTATCACCATCATTAAACTGAGTTCCAGTTGCAGAATCTATTACTGATGATAATGCAGGAGCAGGACCTGAATCTGCTCCCTAAGGAATAGATCATGGAGTTACCTACAAGCTCTAGGCTACCCCAGGAGCACATTAGGCACCATATTTTGATTCAGAGTCACCATTTGATCCCTGCTTCCCCTTTGGTCCAAACTATACCTTGTACCGCTTACTTACCCTCTGCACCAGCTTCTTTGGATTGGGGGCTGAAGGAGAAAAATAAGACAGCATCCAGACTCCCCATCCTGTGAAGGTGGAGAAACAACCCTGAAGCACCAGCTCTCCCCCACCACACACAGACCAATGATGTGGGGAGCCTACACAGATGGATAAGGAGGTGTCTTAGGCCATGTCTACATGTACAGCGCTGCAGCTGTACCGATACTGCTGCGGTGCATCTGGTGAAGACACTCTATGCCGACAGGAGCTCTCCTGTTGGCATTAAAAAAAAAGGCACTGCTGCGAGCAGCATGTTGGTGGGAGAAGCAGCTCTCCTGCTGACAGCGATGTGCACAATAGCACTTATGTCGGTGTAACAAACTATTCCCCCACAAGCAACTCATGCCACTCCTTACACCATTATTTTTGACCCTGCGTGCCATTCAGCTTTGCTCTCCTTCTAGTCCCACAACACCCAGTTCTTATGGCTACCTTTACAACACCTAGGTGAAAATAGGGACAAGATATCTCATCTCAACCTTTCATCATTGTAAGTGTTGTGTGTAACTTTACTCACCTCCATGTTTACTGATTTATTGCACAAAATAGCTAACTCCTACCCCTGTAACAATAGACTGCTAATACGCCTGTTACTTCGTGTTTAGTCATTTATATGACAGTTTATCTGCTGTTCCTATTTATATAGTTGCCTGTGTAACCTCAGGTATATTTTATGCCCCTTCTTGTAATTATCTATTTGAATAAATTATAAATTGTAAATGAAAGGAGACAGGAGCTGAATTAACTTATTGTGCTTCATTGCTTGTTCTTGTTTATTAGCTTGTTTCCTAATCTCCTCAGGAAATAGACCAATTCTATTTCCTAACACTGCTTCACAAAACACCCATCAGGATGATGAGTAATGATTCAAGAGGACATGAGGATACACCTTCCTACTGCTACTCTGGTCCAATTAAGTGCTCCTATTGTACATCCAAAAGCAAAAGTTGAAGCACAGCATGCGAGTCATGTGGCATTTCAAAATTTAAGAAAGTGCGGTAGCTTGCCTTGCACCTTAAGCTGGCACTGAACGTTACAAGTCTCATGTCAATTTTCCATTGGTATGATCCATTAAGGCGAGAGTCTGGCTACCCTGAGAACAAGACACTTTTTTTTTTTTTAAATGTGGTTTTATCATACCCTGAAAAATCTTGATATTCTTAGACCTAATACAGTTTAGCCAAATAAAAATCCTTTCAATGCTGAAATTGAATGAAGAAACTGTTTTAGTCAAATATTAGAAGCTAAGTAGCATGAATGTTGTCTTTTAAATAATATCTGTATTAAAAGTTATAGCTCATAGAGATTTAATGAAATAGAGTTCTTAAACATTTGTTTTTAATTTCCTGTAGAACTTTGCTCAATAGAAGATGCAAACAACATTCAATTCAATTTCATATGTGGATGAATGACTGTATTTTTACTCCAAACCTCTGAGACAATGATACTTACAGGGATTTATTGGGATTATATTCTCTCCCCTTCACATCAGATGCTTCTAATTTAGCTTTTGAGGCCTTCAAAGCAAAGTTACGTTTTGTATCCACATTCATGGCTGACAGCCACCTATTTTCTCACTTGAAATAATTTGGGTAGATAACAGATGTACTGAAAAAGAACTGCAGAACTGCAAACCCCATAATCCACTGGCTGTGATGTATTTTCTTAGGCTGGCAGCAAGTTAGGCAAATCACCACTACCCTTTACTGCAGCGTAACACTTTCCTTCATAATACATAGGCTGCTGATAGATGATCAAATAGTACATTTTCACTTCGGCACTGGTTAGGCCTCAGCTGGAGTAGTGTGTCCAGTTTTGGTCACCAAAGTATAGAAAGGATGTGGAGATACTGAAAAGGATCCAGAGGCAAGCAACAAAGATGATCAAAGGGATGGAATGCAAGCAAAGGCTGAAGGAACCGGGTATGTTTAGTTTGGAAAAGAGGAGATTGAGGGGGGCATGATAGCAGTCTTCAAATACTTGAAAGGCTGCCTAAAAAAAAGGATGGAGAAAAGTTGTTCTCGCTTGCCACAGACAGCAGGACAAGAGGCAATGGGTTCAAACTACAGCACAGACTTAGATTAAATCTCAGGAAAAACTTCCTAACTGTAAGAACAGTAGGACAAAGAAAAAGACTGCCTAGGGACGTTGTGGAAGCGCCTTCGCTGGAGATTTTGAAAATGAGGCTAGATAGTCATTTGTCTTGGATGGTTTAAACACAATAAATCCTGCATGTTGGCAGGGGGTTAGACTAGACGACCCTTGCGGTCCCTTTTAACTATTATTCTATGATTCCAGCAGTACCATGTGCACTAACAATTACATAGCTTAGTTACACAAGATGCATCATCCAAGCACTGTAAAAACAAATGCACCTACTATCAGGTATTTATGAGTCATTAAAATGATCTAAAATTGATTAAAGAGCTATCAGATTGTGAATATACTGAAAACCACAGGTACAGCACAGCCTGTGCTCACAGTGGAAACATCCATTGGGATCCGGTGAGCACATTAAACAATTTCTGGCAAGTACAGAGCAGGTTGCATTGGATTAACTTCAAATTTTCCATCACTTAATAGTCCCCAAGGACAGGGTAATAAGGTATGAGGTACAGTTGCAGCTGTTTACAGTTAAAAAGTTTTAACAATCCTTAACATTTGCTCCACCACTAACTCAACTAAATCTTTGGACGGAGAGTACACCACAGATACTTTTCCATGATTTAAAAGGAAGACAGTGGTGAAAGTAAGTTCACCTAAGCAAGCATTTTAGGCAATTCATATGAAGTGTTGTGGTGCAAAGAACTGACGGGTTTTAGGTTACGAGACTAAGTATTAGACTAGAGAACAGTTTTTGTTCTTAATATTACATGTGCAAGATTTGTACTATTCTGTATTACAAAAAGTCATTCACTACAAAGACAGAACGTGTGTGTGTATATGTCATGATGACCATTCATTACATAAGACATGCACACAGAGTTTCTTGTGAACTTATATTTGAAATAGATTTGTTTCTTTCCCAACTCACTGAACAGTCTCTGAACACTATATACACTAGTACTATGCTACTCTTATATGGTACAGTAACTCCCCACTTGAAGTCATCCTGGTTAAAGTTGTTTAGTTATTAAGTTGCTGAGAACATGCTTGTTTAAAGTTGCGCAATGTTCTGTTATAACACCCTCCACAACCACCCCCAGCGCCTACCAGCAGGCCCCGCAAATCAGCACCCCTCTCCCTCTCCGTGCCTCCCGCAGTCAGCTGTTTCGTGGCATGCAGGGAGCGAGGGGGGAGGAGCGAGGATGTGGCATGCTCGGGGGCAGAACTGGGTGGGAAGAGGCGGGGGAGGGCCTTGGGGGAAGGAGTGGGGTGAGGACAGGCCTGGGGTAGAGCCAGGGGGTCAAGCACCCCCCAGCAGTTTGAAAAGTCAGCGCCTGTGGCCCCAGAAGCCTATGGCTGTCTCCAGCTGTGCAGGGATCTAGAGGCCAAGTGCCTCTGCGTTGTGTGTCCCGAGCGTACCATGCAACCTGGCAGATTGGTTCCCTTAGGAGACGACTGGTCTCCCCAGCACCCCGGGGCGGGGGGGAATGCATTCAATGACTAACTTGAGCAGGCATTTGTGTGATCTGCTGCTCAGAGGCTAGCAGACACATCCCCACTGGGTGCTGGGGAAGGATTCAGCAGTGTCACTTCCGAAGTGCTGCCGCTTGCCTGCTCTGCCTGGCTCCCATGTTGAGCCCAAACCCGCAGAGTTTGCACAGGAAGGACTCAGCAGGCTTGGGGGGTGGGGCGGGGGGGTGTTGTTGGCCCACACCCTCACCAGAGCTCTGAGGCCAGAGGATATTCACTTACCTAGTCACAGCTGTGAGTCAAACCGCATATAATGTCTTTTGTCTCGCAAAACTTTTCCTGGAACCTAATCTCCCCCCCCCCCCCATTTACATTAATTCTTATGGGGAAATTGGATTCGTTTAACATCGATGTGCTTAAAGTCGCATTTTTCAGGAACAACTACAACGTTAAGTGAGGAGTTACTGTATTACAGAAGATACTATCCAAAAGTTCTAAATATTTTAAAAAGTTGCAGCAAGTTAAATATCCAAGTATTTTACCTCAGATTTTTGGCTCAGAACATCAGATGGCTTTTATGATGTGGGATCAGTTCATTTTGAGCTGCCTGACAAACTAGGTATCTGCTCTATACATATAGAGATGTCTAAAAAAAACCACAGAGTGAATTTTTTGTCTTCTGAAAACAGCCTGCTTTAAATCACAAAGTAAGGCTTATTTACTGAAATACTGTAATTGTTTCTGTTTGCAGGAAAGAATATATAAATACAAGAGTGAAACAGGATTTCACATTATGAAAATTTTCATTGTGTGTTTATTACATTCAAAAAGCATTGACTGACCTCTTGGAATTTGTTAGGGAAAAAACCTAGTATAGTTGGAAAGTTAATTAGCATCTACCACACAGATTGCAGAGAGATCCTCAGGAAATCTGAGCAAAATCAATTTGGACCAACATGTATTTGTGTGGGTTTTTTTTTTTTTTTTTAAAACACACTAGATATTCAGTAGTTACATGAACTTGATATCAGAGTAACTGAACAAGGTTGGAAGACACTCAGTGTTTTGGAAACCAACTGACTTGTCAGTTGCAAGGCGGCATATTAATCTTCTAAAACTGCATCACAATAAAGATTCTTTAATGGGTTCAATCACTAAATCCTGACACTGTGTATTTTAGTTTTACAACTACATTCAATTTAAGTTTAAATTTGTATTCCTCATCTGTGCTTTGCCAATATGAACAAAATGGAAAAACTTGGGATGGGAATTGTTCTGGAATGAAGGCAGCCAAATTCTTCACAAGATCGTACAAAGCTGGAACAGGAAAAAAGATAGTAACTCAAATGGTCAGGTATAGACCAAAACTAGGAAGGAAAAATGTAAATTCAACTGCATGAAAATGCCAACACTGAGCAACAGACATGCAAGAGTAGCTAACAATAGTGGAGATTGGGCTTAATTAGCTTTTGACAGATGGAAAAAATGGTGTTTGAAAACATTTCCCTACTGTATAAGTCATATTTTCTGTCTTTATTCAAATCTATGGAACAGAACTGAATTTATGGAGAAATAATTTGACAAGCTTTACCTAAGACAAGAGCTCTCTACAAGAGCCAGTTTTTGGGGAAATAGATGAATGCTTAGTCTCAAAATTAGAACCCTAAGTATATACCAATAGTACTTTACAGCAAATGATCTTTTAAAAGTGCTGAATGAGAAAGAATTTACATTTTAAAGGGGGTGTCTCCTCTAAATATCATGTACACAGAAAACACCCTAAAAATTTTTCAAAGCTTTTTGAGAAACACACACAAGTAATTCAGATTTAGTCAATTTTATTTACAGTTTTTGTACATTTCAGAGCATTACACAATTACATATTCTCATTTTCTGACCTGCAAACAGATACCTTAAAACGGAAATATTAAAAAAAATATGAAGTTAGATACATCCAAAATGCAACAATTACACATCTGACAATTCACAAAGTGTAATTTACCAGGACGTATCCTAAGAATTTAGGAACAACCAGTCAGAAGAAAATCTGACTAGTTTCAGCAATCAATTATTTACACATTCAAACAAAACCTCTCTTGCTCTAAACTCCCAGACAAGTGGCCTGGAAGATTTTTCAGTGGAAGAAAGACAGGAAGTTATGATTCACACCTATGCAGCATTAACAGCCCTTGATCCCAAAATACTGAGTAACATTTCAGCTTTGCCTTTGGGCAAGAGGCATCCCCTCAGCTTGTCAGACCCTGAAGTGTCGTACTTGTGCCCCTGTGTGCATAGAAAGGCTGAGTGTTTGGGAAAAAAAGTGGTCACCAAGACCCCATTTAGTCTGGCCTTTAAACTCTGTTTAAAGGGGTTAGTTAAATTGGTTTCTAACATAATTTAAACTGGCCATGTGGATGAAACCAAGCATGTTTTTAAACATGGTTTGAACTCACTTTGGCCCCATTCACACGACCAGCTATATGTACAGAAGCTACTTAATGCAGAAGTGTTGAAACAAGGTTTAAAGGCCAACGTAAACAGGGCTTAAGTTTTTACACTTCCCCTGGTGGGCCACCCAGGTCACAGCTATTAATTACTTCCATCCCTTGTTTACCCTTTGCCATATAGTGACTAGATACATACCGGCTAGAAACTACTAAAAATTCCCTGCAAATAAACTGCCCTTCAGCTGAGGCTATGGCTCCTATGCATGGGAGGAGTTTTTAATTTAAAAAAAGATTTTCATTTGAAAAATACTGACGTTCTCACTTTAGATTAATTTTGATTGCATGTTCAATTTGTTTAGTTTAACTTTTAAGAAACAGCTACAAATCAGAACAATTTTAGTATAAAAAGAGCAGCCAACCGAGTGCAACGTTTTGAATTGGCCAAGTCCTTCATGGTAGCTCTCTAACTAGGCTATAAATTTTGTGGAGCCTCCAAATTCTTGCCTACCTTACTTTCCACGTTCACGTTTCAAACTGTGTCAGCAGGGCCCGAACTTCGGGAGTCAGCTGCTTAGCAGCCTTAGCTGCCTCTGTGATGGCCTTGCGGTAAAGGCCCTTTCTCTTCTTATTAAAGCGCGACTGAAAGTTTTCTAAAAAGGGGGACAGTTGTGAAAGAGCAAGAAAAGATGTTGTTGGGGACCCAAACCACGAAATGCGGGCCTCCTGTCGAACTAAAAGGCCATTATCTTTCCGGCTCACAGTTATAGTAAGAATACGGGCTGGCCACCAAGGGAAGCCATAAATCTTGGCCCAAACAATGTCCCCTACACATATGGTCCTGCCATCTGGTGTGACACATTTAGAGACGTTTTTGGAAAAGACTTTCATTTTCAAGGAATTACTGAGCTTTTTCTCTTCCTTTGAAGAGGAGGAGGAGGAGGAGGAGGAAGGTGCATGCATGCTGCCTGGAGGAAAATCAAAGCTTTCAGTAGAACTACACTCAGAGTTGGTGGATTTCAAATCATCTGTGCTATCACTACTACACACTGATGCACTGGAAGAGTCAGATTTCTTTTGATTAAGGGTCATGTAAACTGTTATATTGCTTTTGCTGCCTCTCTTGCCCAATGTCTGGTGTTCATCCTGATCAACAGTTACATGCACTTCACTTGTGTCCTGAACCTCACTGCTGGCCTCTTCAGGGCCTTCTGAGGGGCTCTGATTTTCTGAAGGGGCCTCACCTGCTGAGCGGGTGGAGGAGCAGCGAGACTGGGGCTTAGTTGCCATCTTGCCACTCTGTATTTTCTCAAGTCCTGTCTTGAGAGATGAGTCATTTTCTTCATTCCGGTACCTTTGTGGTTTTAAACGCAATCGGGGTGGGAGGGAACCTGAGCTGGTGTTCTGAAGACGTCGTGTAAAATGGACCTTTGAATGTGCATTTTTGGAAGTGGAAGTTGCACTCTGTTTCTTTTGTGCCTTCTCTTTGGCCATTTTCAAAACTTCCCGAGCTTTTGCATGATCCATGTTTTTGCTCTGGAGAACTTTTTTAGTATTTAACTGAGCTTTCGAAGTGTTTGCTTGAGCAGAAACTTTAACTACTTTGCTTCTGCTGTGGCCAATATTTGAAACTTTGACCACAGCATTTCTTTTCTGGCTTTCATTTTGGCTTTTTCCATCTACTTTGTGGTCAGTTTTAAGTTTTTTATTCACAGTAGTTACACTCTCATTTCTTCGCTTTTTATGATCCTCATATTTTAAGCAGTCACTTGCATTACCACTTTTTTTAATTTCTTTTTTTTCTGCAACAACACTGTTTTTACATTTGTCACATAAGACCTGCCTGGGTCGTAATTTGATAGCATTCATAATAGAAGTGGGTTCCTCCCTGTACATTTTCCGCTTGGGTCGCTTAATTTTTCGGGGCGGAGGCTGAGGTATTGATTGGTTATACGTGTCCCTGATAAACAAAGGAGGAGGATATGGCGCTCCCTCATGGAAGAGGGGAGGTGGTTTAGAAGTCCATAGGCTTTTAGCGAGGCTAGGTTCTGATGGCTGAATGGGAGAAGAGTCATCAGGGACTGCACCACTGGCTTCACACTTCACCTGTGTCTCATCTTGGAATGGTTTACTTTGGAGCTGCATGGCTTCAGGTTTATCCTTGTATTCCCTTTTAGGAAATATGGTCACAGGGATTCCATGGGGTCCAAACCTTAAAGGGAAAAAAAAAAAAGATAATTTTAAGTGTCCTCATTTTTTACTACACTGAAACAGATATTTTTAAGAGGTCCCTGCTAAGGAATTGCTATTTTTAAGACATTTTAGCTATTTATCCAGAGTCTAAGAATGTAGTTTTATTTTTCCTCAAAACAAGACACTGGACCTGTACGTTTAACAATATATAGTTAGTATAAGTCACTGAACACAGGCTCCAGACTCATGAACAAGTCTTAAACAGTAGTACCAATTTCTGCAGTAGCTACAGTTTAAGTGGTTGCTACAAGTGGCCCTAAACACTCATTACTGTAGTCTAGTCTCAAGATCTCACTAATGGAAACAGGATCTACTTTGTAGTTCTGCAGAAAATGAATGCTGAGAGATAACTAATTCCAAAGGAGAGTGGATTTATTACCTCCCAAGAAAGTCAGCACAAATTAAATTGCATGCTAATCCAATCGAGGCACAGAATTCCTAGAAGTCTTTTGAGCAATACAAAAATATTTAGAACATTTTTTGAGAGTTATCAAAGCAGATTCAGTATGTTTTAAAAGTATTCAATATATACATGCTAGTACCTGTTATAATGGATAAAATAAAATGTAAGTGATAGCAAACTTCGTTCTTCATACACAAGAAGTTTTCCTTAAGAACAGTACGTGATCATTTGATGCATTACGTACAGGAGACAGAATGCCAAGTGACTTTGGGTCTATTCTGGCAAAGATATCCTTGTTACTTCAATACACTTGGTACAAATATGCTCTCCCTTCTCTTCCCCCACCTCACAGCATGTCTTATGCCATTCTATTTCTCCCAACTAGCCCTACCCAAGTTTTAAGACTTATATTGCAGCTACAACTGTTTTCGTGCAGTATGTGCAGCAGACTCAAATATTTAATTCTAATCCAATGGAAAAGAAATCCCTGAAATAGCAGTAGACATTGGCTCAATTTTGACTGGGCACCTGTCTTCACTGCCTTATTAGCTTAAGGTATAACTCGAGTTTTGCCCCTAACCTGATTCAGATTCACACACAAGATCTCTAGCTCAAGTTAAGTGGTATTTTAAACTCAAGGTAGCTAGACCAGGGGTCTCAAACTCAAATGACCGCGAGGGCCACATGAGGACTAGTACATTGGCCCGAGGGCCGCATTACTGACACCTCCCCCCTCGGCCCCACCCCCACTCCACCCCTTCCATGAGGCCCCGCCCCTACCCCGCTTCTTCCCACCCCTTCCATGCCCCCATTCCAACCCCTTCCCCGAAATCCCCACCCCAACTCCGCTCCCTCCCTGCCCCCAGGGGGTGCAGGAGGGGAGTGGGGTGTGGCGGGGGGCTCAGGGTGCAAGGTGCAGCAGGAGGCTCAGGGTGCGGGGTATGGTAGGGGGCTCAGGGCCGTGGGTTGGGGTGCAGGAGGGGCGTGGGGTGCGGCGGGGGGCTGAGGGCGGGGGGTGCGGCGGCGGGGGGGGTTCAGGGGGCGGGCTCTGGCCTGGCGTGCACCAGGGGCAGGGCAGGCTCCCTGCCTGCCTGCCCTGCCCCCGCACCGCTCTGGGAAGCGGTTGGAACCTGGGAGAGGAGAAGAACAGAGGTCTGTGTGTTGCTGTTACTTCAGGCACCGCCCCCAGCAGCTCCCATTGGCCAAGAATGGGGAACCACGGCCAATGGGAGCTGCTGGGGGCGCTGCCTGAAGCAAGAGCAACACACAGACCCCTGAGCTAGACTATTAGGGATATGGTTTGAAGCTTAAGTGCTACTGAGGTTCACATGAGCTAATAATGCACTGGGGATCAACAGATAGTTACAACTCACTAGCTGCTAACCAACCACTCTGAGTACATTAACTTGAGCTAACCACTGCTGTTCAGACAAGCCCATAGATAAGAGGCTGTCATGCAGCATGCACTAGTGTTGGCTGTACCATTCTTTCTTTTCAACATGAACTAAGTGCATAATTGCAGTATATGAAGTTAGGTACTTATATACTAGTGTCACTTACCAATACAGCTTAACTAAATGCAAGTATGCTGCTCTATTATGAAACAGGGCGTTGTATGTGCTAGAAGATTCTTTACATTGTCAACAAGTCTTTACTGATTTACTTTAATACATACTGATTAAATGTGGTAAAAAAAAGTTAGAGGTTATAAACAAAGCAATCTTCAGAAAAGCTGAAATGAATATGCTGCATCCAAACTGACATGGGCCATTAGTCCTCCCAGTTGTAGACCATATATAATTTTGCAGAGGAAGAGCAACCTCAATGGAGTTTGGTTTCCACAAAAGTGCTGAAAGGAAACATCCGAAAACTTACAGAAAATTAACATATTGACATAGTCATGACTGTTACCTACACACCAGCTACTGTTCTGTTCATCTGACCTTTGAGCTATAAGGGAAAAGAACAAGAATAGTATGTGTTAACAGTTTAAGCACTACAGTGCACCTCTACACATGCTAGTGTGTATTGTTCTTCCCTTCCCCACAAAATAAACTAGCTTCCCTTTGAAATTCAGTTCAGGGGGCTCTACCTGCTTAATATCTAAAATTTAGACACTCCTCCATTAATTCAGAAGAACACTGTTCATTTTAACTATTTCTCTGATGTATTACTGAAAGCTTCAGACATTGTATTATGTATACACTCAGAAAAGAACAAATACCTCTACAGTTATTTGGAGAAAGTACACCTGGCATAAATCCACTGGGGACTCATTTTTGAAAATCTGAGATTTTAACTGCCTTAAAGGTCCACCAAATGGACCATTATGTTTATCAGGTCAAAGAATACTTACATTACACAAGTAGCACTCTGGTCTTGTTGAGGCTCAGAGGTAATTTATTCATAGGAAAGTTAAATTTTAGGAAAGTATTTACAGTATCAGCTAACTATTAAATTCACAATACTTAAAATGCAATGTTTTTGACTGCATTACATAGTCACTGCTATCAAGAAACTTTAATTTCTTCCATACTGATAAGGAAGATCTGTATCCACTTTTTGATCAGTTAGATTAAGGTATCAGAACTTGGAAAATGCATACAATAGACATTATCCCAAGAAGTAAACCTACCAGACAAGATATGGCAGTACATTAGCTGCCATGCACTAAGGCCCTACAATTTAAATGGACAAGAGAGCTGTACTCTTGATAATGGTAACTAAAAACCCTAGATAAGCTTTCCATTTAATTATTTTTCTTAAAGATAATGGGTTTTTTCCCTACATTTTCCAATGTTTTCTCTTTTTACACCTCTTTCCCTACATTATTGTAAAGGACTGGGGCCTGTCTTATAGCCCTCTCTTCCAGCTGGACCCAGGCTTGCTCTGGCTGTGCCAGCACTCTCCCTGTGAACCTTCCCTGGACTCTGGGAGAAGGTCATTTCCAACAGGGTCAGTTCTTGCAGTTTCTTTTATTTTATTTCTAGTTTCCTCAACAAAACAAGATCAAAACTTCTAAGTCTGTCCCCCAAGCCTGTAAGTTCCTCAGCCCAGAAGTTCCTGACTTTTACCTCAGAGCCTTTGTGATAACAGGATTTTCCAGTCTCCCTTCTGTCCATTTTGTTTCTGGGCGCAGTTCCTCCCAACAGTAGCTCCAGCCTCTACTGGCTGCCCCCCCCCTCCTTTTTTGAGGACCAGCCCATTAAGTTTCAGGTCTTCTCCCAAGTGTGGCAGCTGGGGTTAATCAGTCAGCCAGCTACTGGCCTCTCACACCAGAGGAATACCATCCTTTTACTATAGTCACAATTATGCTCTTTACCACCTCTCCTATATTTTGTCTCTTCTGTTTCTCCCCTCCCCCCCAATTACCTGCCTATTCTTAAAAGCCTACTTTTCTATCTTATCTACTCAATTCTTTCCTCTCTCAGTTACATCCACTCATTCCACATCTACCCACCCCTTCATACATGGGTTTCTGATAAGTGTCAGCCCCAAAGAGCTACCAGACCAGACTGAGATGGGGGGCTACATTGTCAAGCGGCAATATCCAGACAGGAAAGTACCACAATGTAGCCATTTTACACTCCACCTTTCCCCTCTCCCCACCCCCAGATCCTGGGTCCAGTTCTACATTTTTCCTAGTCTCTAGTTTAGAGAGACTTCTGTCTACTGCCTCAGTGAGCCAATAACCCAGCCATTTTTCCTAAAGAGGACAACAATAGTTTGATTAGATGATATTGGGTTATTATTAAGATGTTCTTTCCCCAAACAAAAATAATAAAGGACAGCAAATTCATTTAGGAACTAACTATATTCTGTTGTGTTGCAGGGTTTCACTCCCCATCTGCCATTAAACATATTTTTAAAAAACTCCACTTCCCACCCAGTTCTACTTACCTCCAATTCCAAGCAGACAGTTTGGAAACCTCCACAATAGCTAGTTTTGAGGGTGGGTTTCTCTGCTCTTAGGTTTTTTGTTTTTGTTTGTTTGTTTCAGGGAAGTATTGCAGAACCATGGTAAATAACATTGAGAACTGGCTTTTAAGTCCCATCACATTAACAGAGGTCAGTCAAGTTTATATAAAGATGTGAATTCCATATACAGCTCAAACGTAGACAATTTGTAACAAATAAGAAGCGCACCTAATGATTTCAATCACTTGTTTGACCTTGTTGAAAGAGGGACAAAATCAGAAGCCACAATCTAAGGTCAGCTTTACGCTCAGTAACCTCTCTTATTTTGGTCATCAAGTGCTTACTGGAAAGTGTTCTATTTGCTATAGTATAAATCTAGCAACCAGAAACAATTTTAAAATCACTTTACACAGTATAAGATTTTCAAAACAGGGATGGTGCTTTTTTTTTTTTTTTTTGGTTTGTTTTAAGACTAGATAACACCTAGTCCATTGTGGATGCTGCAAAAACAAGTAGTAATGATGCTCAACCGTTCCTACTTAACAAATCCTATTGTCTTCCCTCTCAAAGTTCTGTGAAACTTAGGGGCTAGTGAAGCACAGGACCCATGGGACAGTTCTTGGAAACATTTAAATTAA